ACTCATCCACTCCCTTGTTATATCTCGTCTTGACTATTGCAACTCCCTCCTCATTGGTCTTCCACTACACAGGCTCCCCCCCTCCCCCCCTCCTTCAGTCTATCATGAATGCAGCTGCTAGACTCATCCACCTAACCAACCGCTCAGTGTCTGCAACCCCCCTCTGCCAATCCCTCCACTGGCTTCCAATAGCCCAAAGGATAAAATATATTAACAATCAAAATATTCAAAATATTAACAATCCGTTACAAAGCCATCCACAACTCTGCCCCCGGCTACATCTCAAACCTGGTCTCTAAGTATTACCCTAACCGTTGGCTTCGATCTTCCCAAGACCTCCTGCTTTCCAGCTCTCTTGTCAACTCCTCCCATGCTCGCCTCCAGGACTTCTCTAGAGTCTCTCCCATCCTCTGGAATTCTTTACCCCAACCTGTCCGTCTGTCGCCCACCTTGACTGCCTTTAGGCGATCCCTAAAAACTCATCTCTTCAGGGAAACCTATCCCACCTCAACCTAACCGCTCGACTATCACGTTCTCAAACAATTCATCCCCACGCAGCTCCCTCATGTATCACTTCCCCCTCCCTTTTAGAATGTAAGCCCTCAGGGGCAGGGCCCTCCTTACCATCTTGTCTTGAATTGTATTGTGATTGTAATCTCTGCCCTACATTGTAAAGCGCTACGCAACCTGTTGGCGCTATAAAAATCCATAATAATAATAAGAAGTGAATAATAAGAGGAGTAAATGGAAAGCAAAGGGAAAAGAATGGTGGGCGCTTGTTTTTTTTTTTTATCCAATTCCTGGCCCATCTGTAAACAGGCCGGTTCTAGATGTTTTTTTCACATAGACCACAGATTTTCTGTGGTCTGTGTGAATTGTTCCCAGTAGAACAATGTTGTTTGAACTATTCCCAAGAGGCAGTGAGGTTCTTCATTTGTATAATAATGTTCACCCTTTTAAGCCATATGGTCAGGGGGTGTTTGTTACCAAGTGCTGGGCATGCTTTTGCCGCCTTCAGCAGATGTATTAAAAGCAGTTTCTGATATTTTTCTCCTAGACGGATGTTTGAGCAGCAGGAGGATACTCTCTGATGGAAAGTATGATCTATAAATTGGTATACAGTACAGTTCGCATTGTTCACCTGGTTCCAGAAGAGGGTTCATAGTAGGCATTCCTAAAAACTATGTAAGAGGGTTCATTTTTCTCCTGTGGCAGTGACCTCTGTTATTCGAGTGGGGAAATATTCTGGAGATCACAAAGAGGGTTCAGCACCACCTTGTGATGCTTTTAATTTGTGATTGAATTCCCCCCCCCCCCCACCTCTGGAAGGAGGTTTAGGTAGAGTTTGGTTCCTCTGGGCTCTTGTTTACTTTGCAGACCTGTTCAAAAGCCATAAGAGGTATCAGAACGTTCTTGGGGTTTTGGAGGGAGCACAGATTTCCTCTTTCAGGATATCTGAGCCAGTCTGAAGTTCCACTGGTGGCCACCATTCTTTTTTCAGACCGTAATTTATTAGATAATATCAAGCCAGCTTTCCTCCATGCCAAAGAATGTCCTATCGCACATGGTAAAATCAGGGTGTTCTAGTATAGGGGACATGGGACATGGGTGAGGGAAAGCTATTGCGTTCTCTGAGTTGAAAGTAACCTCTCTCAGGGTAGTGCCTATCAAGGTGTGGGTACTGATGTGGCAGAATGAGGAATGGGACAGTCAGGGAAAGGCAAGTATATGCTGCTGGGATTGGAAGTGTTAGAGCAAATCTGTTGCTTTTCTCTGAATAGGCAAAGTACATATTTTGCTTTAAAGTAGAGCTGCAGCTAACTATTATTTTCAAAATCGATTAGTTAGCCGATTTATTGAGTTCGATTTTAATCGGATAAAAAATAAAATAAATTTTAAAAAATGGCTCCAGTGATGGACTACTACTTTGTATTGAGATTGTAGTCCATCACAGGAGCAAGCTTGGAGCGGTGGAAGTAAATAATAAAAAAAAAGTGTGGTGTGCAATATAGTGAAATAAAGTATAAAATGATATAGCAATGAATGGCACTGGCTATAGAGGACTACAAATCCGAGCAATTGTACATTACACAGCACAATACAACCAGCTACAGAGGAATACAACAAATCCCAGCAATACAATATAGCTGGCGGTATTCTGCATTGCACTGTATAATGTACTATTGCTGGGTTTTGTAGTCCTCTATAGCTGGTGGTATTCTGCATTGCGCTGTATAATGTATTATTGCTGGGATTTGTAGTCCTCTTTACAGCGCAATGCAGAATACCACCAGCTATAGAGGGAAACAACAACAACAAATCTAAGCAATAGTACATTATACATACAGTGTATAATGTACTATTGTTGAGATTTGTAGTCCTCTGTATAATATACAGCACAATTTACCATCAGCTGTAGAGGAATACAAATCCCAGCAATACATTATAGAGCACCATTTGGGGGGGAGTGCAGGCTTACCTGAGCAGTCTTCCAGCAACTTGCTTCTGAGATAGGGCCTGTCTATCGGCGATTGTCATCCCCCCACACCTGCTCCTCACTACTTCTCCCTGCGTCCCTGTGCCAATCGTGGATGTGGGAGGGCGGTGAGCGTGAGGCGGGGAGGAGTTGCGGCGTGGATGTGGGCGGGTCGGGCAGCGGCGAGCGTGAGGTGTGGAGGAGGTGCGGTGCGTGAACAGGGCCAACTAACCTGAAGCCGATTAATCGATGATGGAAAAAGTTGACAACTTTTTCCATCGATTATAATCGATTATGTCGATTAGTTGTTGCAGCCCTACTTTAAAGTGCATATACTTGCAACCACAGCGGTGTGGGTTGAAATTGTGATGGATTGTTACATTTCTCAGATCGGTAAGATGCTTCACTTTCATAAATAAACACTGGTGTGATCAATGCTGAACACTACAGTGTTCATAACCGAGGAGATAATAAATATTCATGTTGCTTCCTGTTCAGTGTTTCGCTGACCAAACAGTAGTATCTTTCATTCAGCCTGGATAGAGGAATCTCCCTGTCCCCCGCTGGCTATTGTATTCCGACAACGGAGGGTATGCCACTTACTGCCTAAATATCTGTGACTATAGCTTTTTGGCAGCAGTCACTTTTTAGCCAGGACATTTTGGACCAGCTCCTTCCACAAACCTCAGTTGGAAAAATTGACTTTTGTTGAATACAGTGGTGCTGACTGGGCCACACGCTGGTTGACATTCGAGTATATAGCTAGCTTTAGCGAGTGCTGGAGCTGCAGAAGATCAGGGACTTTGTATCCTCAATCTTTTTCCATCTCTAAAAGGAAAACATCAAGAGCCTGTTTAGATCCCTAATAAAACACCCTAACAGTACTGTTAAAAAAAATATAAAGAAATAAACACCCCTTCAGCCACAAATAGTGTACAAGTGCTCCAGAAGGCATGCACACACACCCACTAGTGCACACGTACATTGTGTGTATGTTTAAAAGTGGAGCGCAGGGCCTAACAGTAAAAAGGTTAAATATGTCCTCTGAGGCGTATTGTTCCAGTTGAAAAAACGCGACAAAATGCTTCACAGAAAAAAATCCCATTCATTCTTATGGCCCCTGCTCACACCTGAGCCTTTGTCGCAATAAGCAAAGGGCCTGTCCCTGGAAAAGGTACTTTAGCTTCATTTTGGCAGATTACATCTCGTTTTGTCTCCATAGGGTCAATAGGAAACGCTTGAGCGCACTTTTCAATTGCTTTTGGGCGTTTTTGCACATTTACATGTGTTATAATCTGCTCATAAAAACACACGAATACTGCACGTGTAGTGTAAAAACGCACATCTAAAAACGCACCACAATTATCGGAAAGGTCACCAGCACACCAGTGGATAGTGTTCAAAAATAAAGTGTCTTTTAATCACGTGCATGTGTCTCATCAAAACTTGCAACGTTTCAGGGTCCCCTTTTATCAGGCTTAACATGAATTGTTGTTAGAAACTCAAAACCATATATACAAACTCTAAAACCATGTAGCCCAATCAGAATACCCAGCGTGGACAGGTCACACCCCTCTGATGTCATTAAGATGTCACATTGCCGCCAAAACAATTTTAAAAACATTTAAACATTTTTTTTCTAAAAACACACAAAAAACATGCAGCAAAACATGCGAGTTTCTGCGTTTCCAAAACGCTGTCGCCTAGGTGTGAATCAGGCCAAGGATATAATATACCCATGGATGTGGCGTTAATCATGACTTGAGTTACTGGTTAGCCACATGCTTCTAGTAAAATCTTCCCACTTTTGTCTGTTCTGTGGAAAGAGTGAGACTGACTTGCTCTTTACTATCTGCTCTGTTCTGCACTCCTCTGTCCCCAGTGTGTGGGTGGAGACATCACTCCTCCTCCTCTCTCATTACCTGTTACCTGAAAGTTGGGAGGTAAAGTAATCTGAGACCAGCCTCTATGAGGCTGACTGCAGACGGTGACATTTACATTCCTCAGACTGCAGCAAGGCGGAAGAGGGAGATCTCGTTCTGATTCAGCTGAAAGGACTTGCATGCCTGTGAAACAAGTTTATTTTTTGTTTTTGCTTTTTTCCTCTGACACATTGGCTGCTTCGTTTTTGTATTGGGGATTTTTTTTCCTTCTAATTTGTACTTTGTTTAGTGTCGAGCTGGAGCGGAACAGAGATCTTTTCATAACTGTCAAACTGGTCATTGCTAACAAACCCTGTGTCATATGTATGCGATTAAGCTGCCAGGCAACTTAGTGAGCTCCTGTTTGAAAAGCAGGAAGCAGGAATTTGCAGGCTGGTGCTCCTGTGAGTTTACAGCCGTGACACAGAGCTGGTTTTATCTGTTTCCCGCATGCTTTCTTGGAAAACTTTTTTTTTTTCTTTTTTGACAACTAGAGCAGCCACTGTTTCTGCGTACGGAAACGAAAAATAAACTCCGTAGTTTTTTACTTTTTACACTTTTTCTTTTGCCCTATCCTAGCCAGGAGGGCTGCATGTAAAATTGTGGGCACCTTTTTCCTTTTTATTTGTTGGATATGGAAGTAGAAGAAAATCTTGCTGCAGAACCCCAAAGCCCAGGCTCTTTGCCTGCAAGCGAGTTGGTTTCGGCTACACCGTCCCTGCTGGGTAAATTTTCTATAAAGTCGTTTTTTGGAATGACCACAAAGTTGGATTCTATAAAACCCAAAGAGGGCGCAGTTCTGAAATCATTCCGTTCTCTGGGGAATAATGTTGAAGTACAAGCAACCCCACCAAACGGTGAAGAAGGTGAAAGCGTCCATGAGCACAGTCCACAGCTCATCACAGTGCAGGAAGGTAAAGTGGAACCTGAAGAGTTAAAAGAGGAGCCTATAAAAGATGAACAAATTAGCCAAGAGGAGCACTTGGGTATGGATTTAGAGATTATAAGTGTTGTGGATTTACACCAGGAGGAGGATGATGTGGATTTACACCAGGAGGAGGACGAGGTGGATTCACAAGTCATCAAGGGACAAGGTAAAAGTGATGAAAACAAAAATCATCCACAAATAGATCTGGGAGGGACAGAAGCCCAGGTTTTACAAGAGCAAAAGGATGAAAAAGAGGGAGTGTACACAAAACGTCTGAATGCTGCAGACATTGCTAATGATGCAAAGTCATACATGCATTCCATCACTGACACTGTCTCAGATCAGACAGACTATGACCAGGATGATCTACTGGTACATGGCACTCTAGTGCACATCTCCAGTGATTCAGATTCTGACACAGAAAGCTCTGAGCAGGATATCTGCCAGGGAACAACAAAGGCTTCTGTGTCCCAACATTTATCTGCTTCTAATGTATCACTGAACAATGGTTCTGAGCAGAAGCCTGAAACGCAAGATATTGAAGATGGTAATGCCATAGAAACAAAACCGCAAAATGGACTGGACTTTGAAAAGCCGGAATCTGCAGGCCCCAATATGGATGCAAATGCCAATACCACAAAGAATCTAGAAGGGAGCGGCCCTTCAACTCCAGCACCTAGCCCTACACAAGATACCCCGGAAGAAAAGCCATTTCAGCTCCCATCATTTTTTAGCAGCTTTCGTGTGCACAAAAAAGGAGCCTCTGCAGATGACAAGGAGACTGTCACCGTGAAACAAGGAGATAGTGATTTGGCCTTGCTGAAACTCTCCCAGCCAGTGCAAAAATCTATTCTTTCAAATGTCTCACAGGTCCGAAAACGTGAAGTGAAGAAGCCAGTAGAGACCAAAGCTAGCTCTAAATTTATGGAGCAACTCTCTCAGCTTCTGAATTTTGATATGCCAAAGCAAGAAGAGGAGGATGTACCTCCAGAGAAAAATGATGAAGAGACTCAGCAGATAGCAGTCCAAGAGGAGAAATCCACTGTCCAAGAGGAGAAATCCACTGTCCAAGAGGAGAAATCCACTGTCCAAGAGGAGAAATCCATTGTAAAAGAGGAAAAATCGGAGTCGGCATTGGAGGCTTTTAAATCTTTTTTCACAGGTGCTCCAAAAAAGACCTTGCCAACACAGGATTCTCCTGACCTAGAAGCTGTGAAGCGCAAGCAGAAGAGTGAGAAGGAGTCACTGAAGTCCATCTTTGAAAAGGCCAGACCCATAGAAAATGACCAGACTACTGAAAGAAAGAGTGTATGTGATTTTTTTTTTTTTTTTTTTTTTCTGTTTTTTCTCATTTAGATTTTGTTTAAGTGGACCTTTTACACATATCTTTTAAATAACAACAAACACACCTTTAGAAATATTTAGTAATGACAATATACAAACACATACTTCTTGATAACTGCAGGCTTTGTATTGTTTGCATACCTCATTTATTTTTCTTCCCCAGTCTTCTGACAGTGGTCATGTTTACTAAGGGCAAATTACTAGCTCTCATTACTTCCTGGAACTCGGCCACATGTGACTAGACATGTTCTAGTCGTCAATCACTGGAGCCTTTTTTTTAATCCGATTAACCGATTAATCGAACGTAATAATCGGCCAACTAATCGATTATGAAAATAATCGTTAGCTGCAGCCCTAGTGCCAATGCACATTGTCTCAGGGGAGCAAAATGCTTTTCCCTCATCAGATTACAGATGAGATTTCTCAGCAATGCTCTGCTGATAAGGCAATTCCAGTGTGCATTGTTTTGGCAAACTGAAGTCACTTTGCCCTTTCAAAGCAGGAAGTGAATGCTCTGCAAGTGTAAGTATTTCAAAATCACAGCATTTTACACCTGACCTATAACATGTCTGTTATTATTAATTATCATACATGGAGGGATGCAGTGGTAGAATTTTATTTTTAAGTGTAAAGGTCCGCTTTAAGTTTTCCAAATGTTAGTGAGGCCTTAAATGGCAGCTAATGCTTTGAGAATGCTAGTAATTCCTTTTTTACCTACGTTGGCAGTTCTTATGATTAAAGTGACATTTAAAGTCACAAATTCCCCCCCCCCCCCATCATTTACGGCATAATTGCCTTAAACGATGCCTCCTTGATCCAATCATCTTCTCTCCAGTAGTTTTCAGGAGTCCCTCCAGCGCTTGTGCCGCTCTCCGATCGAGCGCTGACTTGTCTCTTTCTGTCCCACGGAGTCTGTGCGGATTGACTTACCCTGGGTCTCTCCTTTCCTCCTGGCCAAAGATCTCTACTGCGCGTGCGACCGCCCCAGAATCTTTGGATGGGAGCATGCTGCAGAGACGCAGGTAAGTTTAAACCTGTTTGGTAACTTTTTTTTTTTTCTTTTAATGTTTTTGCATATATCTACTGTTTGGTAGCAGTAGATATATGCAAAAACATGCAAGGCTTTAATAACCCTTTAATGTTAATGTGTAATAAAGCTCCTTACCTGTTTTTGTGCATGGCAACTAAAACAAAATTTTTGCACCCAGTGAATATGCTAGTAAAGACATTGCTACTTATTTACAGTAAAGGTTTCTATATTCATGACTAATTCGCTGTGTGCTTATAAATTTGTTTTTTAATGGAGTTTTTCAGAATAACATACTGCACCTTAGACTTGCACAAGGTTATGTTGTGTAAAATGGAAGGCACTTAGGTCTATGAATGTTGAATTAATAAATGTATGTGTTTGTGGGTTGTTTTTTCTTTTCATGTTTTTATTTGTGCTAGCTATATTTTTATAACTTATTTGCAGGGTGCCTGTTTAAACAGGTCATGCACCATTCTGAATTACCTTCAGGTTTGTAGTTTGAAATATAAGCTTATGGTGCTTTGAAATGTCTAGTGGTTTTATTTCAGATCTTATTTTGGTTATATTTTTTATGTCTTACAGCCAGACATAAGTCCCTCAGATTCAGAAGACCGGACTCCTGGCAGGCTTCAGGCAGTGTGGCCACCACCTAAACCCAAAGATGGAGAGGAGAAGGTGGGGATGAAATATACTGAAGCAGGTAGGCAGCTGCCATTACAGACATTAATTTATAATGACGGGGACAAATGACAAGGTCAACACCCCATTGTGGCAACTGTCCTAACGAAAATCTGTGCCTTGCCATTCCAAGGTAAATTAGTAGGTTTCTTTGAGGCCCCCTCCCCAGCAGTACGTTCAGCTTTTTTGTTCCCCTACTGTTCCATTCAGGGGCAAGGAAAAGAATCCTAGTGTAAGCTCATTGTTGCTCTATATGAAGCTCACACAAAACCGAGAACTCTTTACCCACCATTGTGTGACAGCAGTGAGCCAATCGCCAACCACCAGCGCTGCGAGGAAGAAGAATGAGTTTTATGCTGCACCATTCCTAGAAGTGATGGCTATTTACCTTTTAATCCCAGCAGGTAAATGGAGTGGCGAGAAAGCAAAAAGTTGTAAGTGCTGCTGGGGTATAGGAAACGTTAAGCAAACCTGTTACCTTGCACGGCACATGCAAAACACAGGTTTGCTTTCCACTTGGATAGCTTACACTTGCTGCGAGTTAATCCCCTTAGAGCTCTTTGCATTGATTTGATAAATGCACATTTAAGAGAGAACATGCAGATTTTTAAACTTAATAATTTCGATTTATTGGTGCCTAAGGAGTTTTGATATGACATTTACCATTTCCTGCATGCCAGAGCTTTCAGATGTCTGCAGTTAAGACACCAGGAGGTTCGGAATGTAGTTAATGGTCTCTGTAGTATCGATGCCAAAAGCTCTGCCCATTTTAAGTAAACTGGGGCATGGGTTTAGCACTGACAGCAGAAGCTGATTTCTATAACTTGGCTGTAACTAAAAAAAACTAAAGTTTGAATTGAGTAGAATTTAAGTGACACTAAACTCAAGAGTTAAATCCAACAAAATTGCGTACAACTACCTTGCCTATTAAAAACATGTAGTGTCGTTTATTTGTGCATTGCTTGGCTGTAGATCCTCAAATCATCTCTGAATTCATGTTAACACTGTCCTTCCTTCTGGAGGGTGGCTGCGTTTGTTCCCCATGGTCCCTGTGTGTGTTGTAAAGTAGCCACTGCTCCAAGCTCGCTCTTGTGATCGACTACAATCTCACCTTTAGTTTATTGATTTGTGTTGAGATTGTAGTCTATCACGGCAGTGAACTTGGAGCGGTGGCTACTTTATAACATACACATACACCATGGGGAACAAAAGCAGCCACCCTCCAGCAGGAAGGACAGCGTCGGCACAAATTCAGAGATGATTTGAGGATCTACCGCTGAGTGATACACAAATAAGATACATTTTTGTTGTTGGGTAAGGTACATGAATGCATTTTTAAGATTTAGCTCTCGCGTTTAGTGTCATTTTAAAACACAATGGCTGGCCCCACCTATACTATTCCAAAATGTGTTGTAGAACTTTACAATTGCAAGTAACTAAACCTATAACTAAGAAAGTGGAAAGCATTTTCTGAAGTATTCAACTGGACCAATGTGTAGGAAATGTAACCTTAAGGAAAAGCGCTATAACTATTCATTCAGTGTATATTTTCATTATAGCCAAGTCCTGTAAAAGAGTGAGAGGGTCACATACAGTCCACAAAAAAGAAGTCCGACATGCTTGCCTCATTGCTGACCTTTCATTGTTGGTGTAGTCTGCACAATGCAATACCACTGGAGAAACAATATTTGTTTCTTACCACCCCAAAAAAAACATACAACATCGTAGATAATTTGCATTTCTTCAGATTTAAACATGAGCTCTGGAGAAAAAACTTTTCATAAAAGTTCGGTCTGGTGATTTTCTTTTTGAATCTGCTCGTTTTTAAAAATGGTCAGCAAATTTTGCAATGTACAGACTGCAGCTGCTGTATTAATGCCTACAGCCCACATGACTGCTTTCAAATTATAGTTGTGGAGGTAAAGAGGGTGTTGAATGCAGTTGGTGAAGACAGCTCCTAGTATGCACATTTTATTGTGATTGCAGGCAAGTCAGTGCCTAGAAGAGAGCAGGAGCTCTTCTGCTGCATTGGGGTGTATTCACTTCTCCTGTTGCAATCTCCATACTTACAAATAGAAAACAGATCTGAGAACTCGGGCACAAAGATACCATGAGATCCGCTTTTTTTTTTTTTCTATTTAAGAAGGTGTTTGTAAGCTTTGGTAAGCTTTGAGCAGCTGATCACCATTTTATTCTATAGGGTCTTGGCATTCAGAAAATATATAATGTTGGGAGGTTTTACATCATTTTCAGGCCTAAAATGTGGAATATAACATGGGTGCAAAAATTGAAAAAAGGGCCTCAGTCATGAAGGGGTTAAAACAAGCTGCCAGCAGGCTTCAAGAGGCTTCAGCACTACATGAAGCTTGTTGAAAACATGCTGAAGCCCAATGGGAGTCTGAACTCCACTAGCTTCCTAAAAACTTTACAAAGGCTTTGCACGAGCTTGCTATACACACTGTTCTTATACAAGCTGAAACGTGTGTGCACAAGGCTTAAACGCAGGAAGGTAGTAATTCTTAGATGTTTGGTGTTTTTGGGCATCTTCAGCAATAGCTTAGGGGGCTGTACCTGGGCCCTGCTGGATTGAAAATTGCTGGGCCAGTCTAAAATGTGGCCTTCAGGGGGAGGCAAGTCAGCACAGCATTCCCTGATCCACTATTGGTCTGTGTTTAGGTTTTGAAATAAGTTTTCCCATTTTATTTCCCCCACTAGGTTGCGCAGCTTATCAAAGTTAATTTTATTTTTTCAGGGTACATTTTCACTGTTTGGTGAATTATGTAAAGCTGTGTTTTCTTCATCTGTAAATAAAAATCCTGTTTTTCTTCCTTGCAGGTATTCTTTGCAAAGGGAATTTTTATTTTTACTTGGCTTCACCTCATTCACTAAGCGAAGTGAAAATCCACTTTACAAATTGAACATGCTCTCTATCCCTTTTAATAAAAACCTCATCTGCACTTTTTTTTGACAGTGCAGCATAGAGCATTCACATATGTTCACATTCCCTTTAGCAGGTATCATTGCTACTATGTGCTAACAGTCTACTAAAGTGACCCTCTATTCTATTAAAGCCCTTTGATTACTGTAAATGTTTTTAATAGTAAGGGCTGATCTCTGCAGGTGATTTCCTTAATGGCGTGCATCTTGGCAGCACATTGATTTCAGTGTATTGCAAATTAGGTGACTGAGTAAAAGATTAACATCACCCATGTAGTGTAAGCCGTAATAAACATCTCATGTGGAGAAAGAAGACTCCAGCTGGTCCGCTTTGCTTTTCTTGGCCAATTTCTGTGGGGTTGTGGAGTGCCCTGGAGGACCCAATAATTTTTATAGAAAGCTGAATTTTGAAAAAAATGGCTTGAATTGATCTCAAAGTTAGGACTCCGATCTTGTTTTGCAATGCACATTTTTCTGTTTTGTTTGAAAACCATTGCTGGTGTTTTTTAGACATGCAGTTCAGAGCAGAGATAAGGAGCTAGGTAGAAAAGTCAATTTTCATATGGCTTCTGTATGTTTAGAGGAAATGATGTGAGAAATGTGGTGTATTGTATTTGTCATGTGAAAGAAAGACCATGATGTGTCCTGTTTTTGTTCAAAGTGAAGAATAACACTGTGTGCTGTTAGTGTTAACTTCACTAACCATGTGTGGAATATTTATACATCTCGTCAGTTACTAAGAAATGAGACAGCTGTGTCAGTGTTGTTTATGGGAGTGAGTTGGTTAATTGAGGATGACTAAGACTGAGGTGCTCAATGATTTCACATTCTTGTGTTGTAGACACAATACATTTTTTGCAGTGTTGTTGGGCTAAATGCTTTCCTATATGAATGATCACCTTCAACTTGTACAAGTAAAGATAATTCCCAGGTTATAAAGGGACCTAGATTTAGAATACTAGTTTTTACCTTTTGTATAAACGTATAGTATAAGCAGGGACCGGTCAGCATCATCCATTTGTTTCGATGTTCTAGAGTGATGAAAGGAAGTCTTGTGTTTTATGGCACATTGCATATCAACATTACTGTGGTGGAATAAACTCGTGTGAAAATGGAAGTACACCCTCTTCTATGGTTTTAAGTAGGGATGCACCGATACTTGGTATTTTCATGTGTACTCGTTAAAATGCATTGATACTAAGCGCCGATACCGGTGCTTTACATTTTTTAACTGAAGCCGGCACTTAACAGGCACCACCATTCACAGGAAGGCTGCAGAGGTCCCCAGCAAGGTAACTGCCTTAAACTTGAGCTCTATTTTGAAACACTTTTCTATTAAATTCATAGCTGATGCAATGGAACCCAGAAGATTATAGAACACTAAATAAGGCTAACATCTGATTGTCTTCAATGAATGTGACAAGTTTTGTTTCTTCCTTATTGTGGACTATCACAGTGGAAGTAGAACCAGTTTTTCAGCCTCACACCCTGTCATCTGATATTACACTACATTGTACCTGCTTGTTAATTTTTTAGCCTCTACATCCTCTCCAAATCCACTCCTAATACAACCTCATGTGTGTGTTGGTTTAAAGCAGAGTTGTTGACTCATAACATGTAAATCGTGACTCACAGTATGCCGAGTCAAGTCTTTTTTAAAGGATAGCTTTATCATGTACCACAAGCCTATTGTCTACTCGGCTAGCATGCTTTTTTTTTTACATGAACAGATCTAGGTTAGATTTGCCACAGAGATACCTGCCCAAAGGGTGGCACATAACTGCTGTGGATAAATGAGTGGTAATTGGTGCAGCTCTGTTACAGCACTGTGAAGGGTACAATATGTGCTGAATACTAGCACCTTGTTAAATATTTTACCTTTTAAGAGAATAGCAGCACACAGGATTTAAAGTGAATGCTGGTTGAATCTTCACTGGAATGGAGTTTGCCAGCTTTGGGGGTACAGGAGGGAATTTGAACTGGAGGATAAGGGGGAGTGAAAATGGATTAGTTGATGGGTGGGTGATCACGGTGCTTTTAGTGTAGCCTAATGGAGCAAGCAAACCTGGGGTATGTGTAATGGCT